GTTCTAGGACCGGTTTTGTTCAATATCTTTATTAATGATCTGGATGAGGGGATGGATTGCACCCTCAGCAAGTTTGCGGATGACACTAAGCTGGGGGAGAGGTAGATACGCTTAAGGGCAGAGATAGGGTACAGAATGACTTAGACAAATTGGAGGATTGGGCCACAAGAAATCTGATGAGGTTCAACAAGGACAAGTGTAGAGTCCTGCACTTGGGACGGAAGAATCCCAAGCATAGTTACAAGCTGGGGACCAACCGGTTAAGTAGTAGTTCTGCAGAAAAGGACCTGGGGGTTACAGTGGATGAGAAGCTGGATATGAGTCAACAGTGGGCCCTTGTAGCCAAAAAGGCTAATGGCATATTAGGTTGCATTAAGAGGAGCATTGCCAGCAGATCCAGAGATGTCATTATTCTCCTTTATTCAGCTTTGGTGAGGCCACATCTGGAGTATTGTGTTCAGTTCTGGGCCCCCCCACTACAAAAAGGATGTGGATGCATTGGAGAGGCGCGGCCCCCCCCCCCGTTCGTAACTAGGGATCCAACTTAAGTCGGATTGATGTAACCCGGGGACTGCCTGTAGCTTAATTAGGCTTTTGGCGCTGTCTACACAGCAGAAAGTCGAAGGAAGAACACTCTTCCTCCAACTTCCCTTACTCTTTGTGAAATGAGGGTTACAGGAGTGGGAGTAAGAAGCCCGTTATTTCAAACTTATTTCAAAATACTGGGCTTGCTGTGTAGATGAGTACATATTATTATGAAATACCGTCAATTATTCTGAAATAACGCTGCTGTGTAGATGTGCCCTCATTGTCTTAAAGGAAAAGCTATGGTCTCAAGTTGTGGTGGGAGAGGTCCAGGTTGGATATTAGGAAAAACTATTTCACTAGGAGGGTGGTGAAGCACTGGAATGGGTTACCTAGGGAAGTAGTGGAGTCTCCATCCCTAGAGGTGTTTATCTTGGCTTGACAAAGCCCCGGCCGGGTTGATTTAGTTGGAATTGGTCCTGCCTAGAGCAGGGGGCTGGACTTGATGACCTTCTGAGGTCTCTTCCAGTTCTATGATTCTATGATATGGTAGAGATTCTTTACAATCCAAGATCCCATTAAGAGTGCTGAAATACCACCACTATAATTTGTAGACACCAAATTATATTAGATTGCAGAATACAGATAACTGGAGGAAAATAATTTTGTTGCACAATCTCTGAAAACAAATTTGTATAAAAGACCAAGAAGAGTACCTGTTTGGGAAGTACAAGGAATACTTGCATGTAGTGCATTCAATACTGCCTTGCCTAATGGCACAGTTAGTGTTTATTTTTGCTACCATTAAAATCCATAGTTTTCAGGCTTTGTAATTGAGATGCCCATTTGCTATGGCATAAGAATACAAATCTTCCAAAGAAATATCATCTGCGTTAGCTTTAGATAATCTGAAGTACATGTGCAACCCCAAGACATTTTCTAAAGTAAAATTTTGGGACCATTACTCCATCAAGCAAATTAGGTTGTGGTGATATTTATAAAAACACACAATACACACAGTGCTACATTTTTAACATTTAAAAATCATTTATGTGTGTAGGCAATTTTCCTCTAAACATCCTTTGCCATGTATAACCACTTGGTAGAGTATCTGATTTGTGCATCTTGAGTTCTATAGTTTCCCGCTGGCCTTGTCTACACTGGCACATTTTGTCACCAAAAGCTGCCTGTTGGAGACAAAATAGTGAGAGCGTTTACATTGCAAATTGACTTTTGTTGGGAAAAACACAAAACACCCAGTTTTGGTGACAGAAAACTTCCAGCCTTGCTAGACGCTCTTGTCTTTTCCCCTCCCTTTATTGTCGACAAAGAGCGAGTGTGGACTTTGTTTTGTTGAGAGAACTGGCTTCCGCCAGTATCCCACAATGCCTGCCCTGATGGCTGTGCTCAGTGTTTTGTGATCTCTGCTGCCCTGTAGGCATGTGGCTCTCCCCTTTCAAAGCTCCAGGAAGTCTTGACAGCTGAGTGAGCTGTTCCCTTTGGAGATCAAACAGAGCAAATCTTTGGAATGCTCCTGTTCTGCCCTGGACTAGGAACACAGCGGCAGGCAGACTGCTACTTCAGGGGAGGACTAGCGAGATTCCTGTGCTGCTTTGACTTCCCTCAGCACGGAGACCTCAGAGAACTATGAAGGAATCCCAAGAAGCTCAAACATCAGCTCTGCCTTCTCACAACACTGCACTGTGGATGCTTCCCCACATTGCTTTGCTGAATCTTGTAGACAAGGTGCTAGCAGTGTAGCCATGAAATGTCATCAGCACTTCTGTTGCCAAACCTTTTCAGTGTATACACAGTTTCATGAGAGTCTATTTTTTAGCTATTTGGACTATAGAAAATATTTCAGGATTAGGATTACCTACAGTGTTTTGTTTGAAAATACCAGCTTTAATTTCTGGCTGTTCTAGCTATTTTTTATTGCATCCCTATGGGTGACAGTCATTTAAGCTGTGGTCTCTGGGTATTAAGGTTGTATAGATTTGAAAACACTGATACCTGTGGCCACAGAAATAAAACTGAGCATTTATTGAGAGAGCCTTTAAAATTCTAATTCTCTTATTTTATTGTTAAAAATAGTTTGTAATCAAAATGCTTTATTGTTTCCTGTCTGGTTATAAAGTTTTAGAGTGTTGGTCTGAATTTGTGTGATAATTGTTTAAATGCTGTACACCGAGATGGTGAAGAATGAAATAATCAAGTTTAGATCTCTCTTCATATTTAATTTTAAAATTTTAATCATTTTTAATTGCACTAAGCAATTGAAGATAGCAAAATTAAGTGAAACAGGCTTTGGATAAAGTCTGGCCCTCATGCTTTGTGAGTAACTAAAATTTCAAATTCACCAGTGTCACTACTGAGTCACTTATATACCATAACAATGAATAAATATTTGAAGAATCCTTCCAATTGTATTACCCTGGTGAAACATTGTGGGCTACTTCGCACTGAAAAATTATTTCATTGGATGGCAAGGCCTTGTTTCCACTTTAATGGGAGATTGATGCTACAGAGATCATCTCCAAGGGGGTTGATTTTGAGGGTCTAGTAAGGCCCTGCTAAATCAACCACTGATTGTGCTCCCGTCAACTCCGGTATTCCACCAGGTTATGAGGAGTAAGGGAAGTCTATGGAAGAGTTTCTCCCGTTGACCCCCTGCAGCGGAGACGCTGCAGAAATTCAAATTCAGGTGCGTTGACTCCAGCTATGCTATTCACATAGCTGAAGTTGTGGACCTTAGTTAATTCCTCCTCCCCCCCCCCACCCCTTCATTTTGGGGGAATCTCTGTGGAGGGAACAAAATTCAGAACTGCTTTTAGTAAGATTGATTATATTTAAAAGTTTTCAGCAGCCTAATCTAATATTCTAAAGAAGAGTCCCTGTGCTTCCATATTTGCCTGCCAAGAATGTCGGGGTGTATGTGTCAGTAATCCTGGAGGCTGATCCAGTAGTTTTCTGGGTAAAGAATACACTCTTGGCTTCCAAAGAGAACTAGGGGCATGAGCATTGACTCTTTCATATTTACAATATATTACTTTTTGCTGTTATGTTCAGTATTTGTTATGGTGTTTTCTGCTTATGCCAAGCTACAGAATGTTGTGGCCATTGATGAAGAACAGAAGCACTTAAACTGTAGAAGAATTGTTTTCCAATCTCCTGTAATGGTTTTATTTTCTTAAGTGATTACTAGCCTCTAGAAATGTTTTCTTGTGGGAAAGCAAGAAACAGAGGAAAACATGATTGATAGAAACTTTCAATTTAGTATTGTTTGTGACTGAAGACTTATGGGTAACTTTCCTTTGCAGACAGTTGTTCAGGATCGAAGGCGTTAAAAGTGTCTTCTTTGGGCCAGACTTCATCACAGTCACAAAGGTAAGCGGAAGAGAGATTCTGATGCTCCACGTGTGAACTGAGACTTGTCCAGTGTGCAGGGAGAGATGAAGGGAAGGGACCTCCTTGCAGATCTGTCCCTCGTTTACATAACTTACAGTGGAAATCTTCTCTTTCCTTAGAATGGCCACAAAATATTCACTCCGGGGGGTTAATTTAGTTCTTCCGCATAATCACTGTACAAAGTGAAATACAATTACCATAAACCTGTTAAGGCGCCCTATATGCTAGTTACAGCTTGTGAGAATATAATCTTTTGAATCTGATTTTCAGAGCTACTGCCAAATATCATGGCTTCCCTTGACATAAATTGTTGTATGTGTTCAGCACTTTTTAATTTCTAATCAAAATGCTAGATGTCAGCCAAATAATTTTTAAGTACAGATTTAACTTCTGTAGTCTGGCACCCTCGGGACTGGACCAGTTCCAAACCAGAGAATTTTCTGGACTATGGGAGGTCAGTATTGCCTAGCAGCATTACCAATACTTTCTCTGCTTACTGGGCTGTTAGAGAACATTTAGGGGTAAATTAGAGCTAAATACCAGCACAGAACACTGAGAGCCAGGACTGGTGGCTGTAAACACATTTTATGAGACTGCAGGAAACTTGGCCATACCCATGAAAAGTGGACATCTGGTTCGCTAAAATCATTCTGGACCCTTGATGTTTCCGGACCCGAGAATTCTGGACGAGAGAGGTTAAATCTGTATAACATTTTGCCCTTCTGTGGTCCTTTTTCTCTAAATCTGAATAAAAGAAGCCTCACATTTTATAGATACATACGTTTACTCTGACATACTTAGGTTAAATTGTCTGGAGCCATATATACTAAGCTAATGGCTGAGACAGGAATAGATCTTCAGAATCCAAATGGATGACCATAAAGGCATCACTGTGCTCTGATGTAGTATGCACAAAGCATTGTGAATAGAACTTAGAACCATCTGCTCCAGAAATAGTCCTTTAGTACTTGAGCTAAAAGAGAAATTTCATTAAGTATTCAGCAGCATTAGGGTTCATATCCTTTAAGCTAGATAATAGAAGGCAGCAAAATCACAAGCACTCACAGGTGAAAGTCTGTCCACCAAAGGACAGAGATACACAAGCAGGTGCATAACATATTGCCTCAGAGTCCCTCCTTTTGTTCCAGGGGCAAAGCTTGTTCATGTGGGGTTCACCCAATCCAGGCGGTATTGTGTAATAAATACATAGCTGCATAAGTACTGAAGAGTCACTATGCCATGTAGTGGACAGCAGATGGGATGTCAGTAATACAACACATAAGCAAAACTTAAACAGGCTTCAAAAATAGTTTGTTGGTAGAAATATTTTCTATGATTTTAATTTCTTTCCATATTAAGTTGTTTGTATGTGCTAATATTTATTTTATACAGTGGGTTGGCTTGCGCATATTGTAGACAAATGTTTAAATCCAAACAATAAAACCTATGAAAACTTTTCTATTTCATATTGGATTTGGTAAAACTGATTAATAAAATTTAAATTTCAAGTCTAAATGCCCAGCAAGGTGCCTTTAAGATGGGGACAGGATCACGTGTAAGAAGATTCATCATCAGAATGAGGCAGAAATAATATATTTGGTTTTCTTAATTTTTTTATAGGTGGGTGAAGATTTGGATTGGAACTTATTGAAACCAGATATTTATGCAACCATAATGGATTTCTTTGCCTCTGGTTTACCTGTAATTACTGAAGAAGCACCTCGTACAGACACAGGTAAATAGAAGACTTGAAAAATTGCTTACCCCTGTGTGCGATCTTGCTCCTTTCTTAGGTTGATATGTTTGGTACATCATAGGTAGCAGGTTTAAAACAAATAAAAGGAAGTATTTCTTCATGCAACACATGTGTGGAGCTCTTTGTCAGAGGATGTTGTAAAAACCAGGACTATTCACGGAGGACAGGTCCGTCAATGGCTACTGTTTGTCAGAAGCTGGGAATGGGTGATGGGGGAGGATCCAGTAGGGGGGACCTGCAGCACCTGGCAGTGGCTGCTGTCAGAGGACAAGATACTGTGCTAGATGGATCTTTGGTCTGACCCATTATGACCGTTCTTATCTTATTTTCATATGTCCAGAGGAAATGAATTTGCCACACAGAAAGTATGTGAGAAGAGAATACATGAAGCAGTATAAGAGGCTAAAATTAACGTAAGATTCAGCAGTCTGCATAAGGTCCAGTTAAACTAATAAGCCATTGTCTGACCATGAATGTGGGACCAGAATTTCAGCTCGGACAATGCTGAGGCCAAATTTTATGGATTCATTGATTCCAAGGCCAAATGGGACCGTTGTGAACATCTAGTCTGATCTGTACAACACAAGATACAGAACTTCCCCCAAATAATTCTGAGAGCATATATTTTAGAATAGCAGTTCTAAAAAGAGGTTTTGGAACAGCGGTCTGTGAGCCACCCACTCCTGGGGGTCTGCAGACTGTGCATAAGGTTTCCAAAGGGGTCTGTACCTCCATTTGACATTTTTAGGTGGCTGCAAATGAAAAAAGGTTGAAAACCATTGTTTCAGGAAAATCATACAACTTTCAGTGATACTATCCTGATTTTATACCAGCAAATGATTGTGAAGACTCTTCTAGCCTTTTTTAGGTTTGAAACATTTTTTTAAAAATCTGCTTGGCCTTCTGTGTGTACAAAAATATTGAAGTGTGTGGTAGAATTTGCTTTTTACAAGCTCACTATAAAGATTACTGATCTCCTTTGTAAAGTGTTATAGCTGTATTAATGGTCTAATTGTAAAATTGCAATACTGTTACAACAGAAATGCACAGAAGAGTTGCTAAACTAAGATGGAGGGAAACTCTGCCTGTATTGAGGGGTCCTAATAGCCCATCTGTTGCTGTCAACTGTTCTTGCAGTTATCCAGAGAACTGCCAGGCATGCCACTTTGAAAGTAATGACTCCTGTTAAATAATTTAAGGAATTTTGAGGTTGATAGGTTTCAATTCCACTGAAAAGATGCTTCCAAAGGTAAAACAAACATATTTGTAATTACTTTTTCAGCTTAATAGCTGGATACAGTAGCCATTTGTCTTTTACATACAAGTAAGAATGCTTTAATGAAGGTCACTGAAACAGTAGTCAGCAACTAATACAGGTCTTGATAGTCTAATAAATTTCACAATTGAGAGCAGTTTGGAGACAAATTTTTATATTTATAATAAACTCCGGACAGGAGGAGAATTTTGTACCTAAACCCTA